AAATTTGGGACTAAGGGAATGTGTTTTAAGAGGAACGGCGTCTAAATTTTTTGGCATAAATGTTTGTTTTATTGACTCTTTTATTTTAGCCTATGAGTATTCAGTATTGTTTATTGTGGTCCATAAGTTATAGTTCTTCCAAAAATCTCTTAATGTAAGCCCACCTTCTTCGCTAGTTGCCTTGATATCCTGACTCATTACTGTCCTCACACAGTATCTTAGTTAGCACGTAGTATCACACAGTATCGTAGTTAAACTTAGTTAGCACGGGCTGTATAAGGCAGTTAATGCTGGGAGAAAGAAGCACAATACTGGTTTCAGTTACAAATTGCGGTGATTTTATGTGTTCTGGGGCATTATCTAAGGTTAACAATTCTTTAAATTGTAAATCTTTTTATCTTGATAATAATGCTTAACTGCTGGCACGAAGCGAAAAGTGAACCAATCTTGATATATTAACGCAGTAACCTCAAGCATTTTTATTTGGTTTTCAAATGACTGGAAGCAATTTTTTATCTTTTCCTTTCAAAACTCTCGGATTTTCTGCTTGATAAACTATGGCTTCAATTTTAAATCACCAGCTAAGTTTCCACCAAGAAGCGATGTCAACTGCTTTATGTTCAGGGGTTTATGCCCAAAATGATTATGTCCAGGGGCAACTGATACTTCCTTCGATAAGGAGGTACAACTGGTATTTTTTTTAAATAGATCTCTCTGCATTGAATACAATGAATATTTGGCTAAGAGAATATTGAACACATTGACTACATTGAATAATTGGCTAAGAGAATATTATCTGTCTACAAAAATTTTGAACAATAAAAAAATAAATTCTCATGCAGCATCTTATCTGCATCAGCCGATTCTCAGGTGAATTTAATACTATGTAAGGAATTTTTTAATACTATGTTAAATTTGTTGAACCACCGATTACTTGCTTGAAACACATGTTGGAATATTCTCTTAATATAGTCTAGCCTTAGTTTGAATAATTAAAAATCTCAATGGACATTGTTTTGATGTTCATTAAGAATTTCACCAAGTGAATTATTTTTTATTCAAACTGGAAAAAAGTGCGCCAAGATAAATTTTAAAATTTCTTGGTAAGTTTCTCAATAGATTTTACAGAATTTAATATTTGGGCATAAGCTGAGTTTATAGAATCGAAATATGAAAAAAATGGGTATAATATTTCAGAAAAGTCCGATTTTGTGTCAAAATACCTATATTGTAACAATGATACATAAAAGTATAATACATATCCTAAGTCGTGGTTTCGGGACAGGAGAAATGTAACAGAAATTTCATCAATCGGCGCAGTAGAACAGGTGATATAGAACTGTGACCCCTTTTTTTGCTGTACACAGGGTACCGCTGTTCAATAATTTCAAGTAAGTGTTTCGCATTTTTACTATGCATTCTACTATTGGAACGACAAAATAGTAGGAAACTAGTAGGAAAGAAAAGAAAAGAAATGTAAAGTTTTATTTCGATGGTTGGGTTAAGAATGATTCAGTTTTTGTTCCAGCTTAGTCTAAATTGATTTAAGTTCCATTTCGAAAATTCTAATATTATTATTACTACCTGAAGCGTTATGAAATTATCTGCGTTATTAACGTTATATAAGAATCATTTAACCTGAATTAATTTTCGAATGACGTAGTTAAAAGAGATTTCTTATAAGCGATTACTATTTTTAGGACGAAGAGGAGAATTAACTAAATTAAAAAGGACAGTTAAGGGACCATCGCAGTCTTACTTATTTTTGGTCATTTAATCTTACCTATTTTTTATTTTACATATACAAAACGTTTCTTATGGGAAAAAAAATGCAAGGATTTATTAAAACACTTAAAAAAAGTAAACTTTAGTACGTGTCATGACGCCGTGACAAAAAATCAGCAAAATACTAGTCATCAAGCTGTAGCCTTCACAAGGTAGCATTCAAAACTTTACTAATGGAAAAAACGCATAAAAATAATAAAAATAAAATCTGAAAGCTTTCAGATTTTACATTACTCCCAAAGAGGCTTTTTGTTAACGTTTTGTGTGGTAACCTTTATTTATAAAACATTATCTCCTTCCCACTTAAACCATAAAATTCAATCCAACAGCAACATCGTAAAATATTTAACAGAGAATATCTTCAGAATTTCCAATACACAGTCTCGCGCGCTGGAGATACTTTTTTTTTTTTTTTTTTTGTGTGTAGAGTGTTGTTACTGCTCGTATTGAAATTATTGAGTTTATTAATAAAAAATTCATTAAAGTGTTACAAAATATGAAATCGATAATAAACCAAATTCCAAATTATGACTTCCAGATGCCCATATTCGGTGGAGGATTACGTTATTCAAAATTAGATGGCTCTAGGTACCGCTGTTTTATCACAATGCGAGAAACATACATACATTTATGCAGATTCTTCATTATTTAATTTCTTTAAATATAACACAGAGCGATAATATTTGGTGGCAACAATTTGAAAAATGAAACAAACATTTAAAATTTTCGACGCAAATTGCCAAACCCAAATTATAGCCCTTCTGGGCTAATGACATTTGGGCTAGTCAGTTAAAGGTCTAGGAATGTATCTAAAACTGTGTTTCTCAGTCATAATGGATTGCACCAGCATGTGTTACGTCTTAACGTCAACAGACCGTGGTAGCTGTCAGCAAGACTCTGTTTTATGAATAACATTTTTGTTTACTTTTTCCAGGTAGCATACATAAAATTTTGCGTGCGCTTCGCTCGTTATGTTTCGATCTTTGCTTGTAGTATTATAGAAATTCCACAAATATGTATTTTTCTCGCGCAGCTAATTTAGAACCCATAAATTTTCATATGGTTTACTTTACAGATGACAGTAAAAACCGCAATAAAGTTGATCTAGCATTTGTTTCTTTTGAAGACCAATCTGAGGTTTGCTATTATTTCAAATAAATACACAGTTTTTCAAGCAGAACTTCCCTGTACTTCTCGTCAAGAGTATCAGTGAAAATAGGACAGCAATCCACAAGGTACCTTTTATGTTCTGATTCTCTTTCTTCTTTTTACTTTTCGAACAGTATTACCAGCAGCGACAAATTAGTAGTCTAAAGTCTGTTCGTTTAGAAATAGGGGAATTGCTGTCCGTTTCGCTAATGTGTGGGATCATGATGGATTCTATGGAAATGAAAGGCTTGATTTCTTGGCTAAAGATGCCTTAAGTTTACCTATTGACATCAGCATTAGCATATTAAAGAGATATTGGAAGACCTTTTATTAAAAGAAGCTTTTATCTAAGTGGAATGAGGAATATATTTCATCCTGTAATGCTGAAGGTACCAAAACATTCTTTCCTTCTATTTACCAAAGACTACATCCGAGTCTTTCTTCTTTTTAATTTTAAAGTATCTCAGTTTTTATATGGTTACTAGCCGGCAGGCCCGCTACCTCAGGGGATGGATGCCTTCGTGGTATTCAAAAGTTGGACCGAACTACCAGTGTACAGCGATTTTACCTGGGCTGCGCCCGCTTTATTAACGTATGCACGCAAAAGATACTGCATACATGTTAACACATGCGGAAAATCATGAAAACAGACATGCAGCCAGCCCGCTCGCCGGGAGTCGAAAGTTGGACAGAACTACCAGTTTTATGTTAGTGTTAAAAAAAAATTGAAAAGGCTTGGCGGCACTTGGTCGGTGAACTTATCTGTTTCTGTGAGGTCTAGACTGCTGTTCTCTATTTCTGTTTGTTTTATTTATGCATGTAATGTTTAGTTAACTCACTTTTGTATGCCCTGTGTAGAAGGTGCACGGAGAAATTGTATGAGTTCAAAATAATTAAAAATATATATATACGTTTTTTTCTGCTTTTAACGGTTATCCCATTGGGAATTAATGCTTTCATTCAAGTTCTAAGAAAGCTGTTTATATTAAGTGCCCAGTAAAGTTGTCATTCGCCAAGAAGACAACTGAATGCATTTTTTATTTCAAATGGATAAGACACCGGACGGCCTCGTGCGTACTGCCCAGATGGGAGAAATTTATTTATCATGTCCTAAACATTGAATACATACTGAAAACAGATACTCTTATTAGTAGAATCACTGTACTTAGGTGGTTTTATTTTTGCTATGTGACTGTTCAGAAGACTATGTACCTGTTCTGAGGTGTAACTTTGATCTAGTTCTGTTTTGTATTAGATTTCCTTATAGTGCCACCTATTCCCCAGATAACCTTAGTTTTAAATACTTTAAGGATTTCATGTTAAAATGTTAAAACTATTTTTTAAATGTTCCTGAATTTATATAAAAAAGGCTATAAGAAAAAATTACTTTAAGATGTTGTTTGTATGTAAAATGCTAAGTAATATCGCAAATTCTGTTCTGTTGATGATAAAAAAATTCATTTGTGATGTTAAGTGCTATGAAACTAAGCTCTCAATGTTTTCAGATGGTCCAGGAACCCCCAGGACAGCGGGTGTACATTTCGAAGCAAATTTGTTTTAGATATTTTTATTTAATGTTAATGATTTTATTGGAGCATATATATTCGCTTAAAAATGAATTAATAGCAGCAGGATATTTGTTTGCGCTAGGGGAAACAGCGGGAAAAATCTTTTAAACGAGATTTATTTCGAATATCTAACTAATTTATCGATTTCGCAGATTTTTGGTTTTTGATAATTCTATATTTACTAGATTTGAACTTTTGGATCGAAAATTCTAGGTCTAATATCGTCTTGAAGTTTTCATTGATAAAATCATTATGTTTCAGTTTTATCCTATTATATGCGAAGATATATTGTTAAATTTTAATAAAGATTTATAAATATGTTCTAGTAACAGTGCTGTAATAAACTGAAAAAAATAAGGTATATGATAATGGAATAATTTTGTAAAACTTCAGCAAACAATGTTTGTACAAACAAATGTAAAAACAATGTTTATAAATAAATACATGTTAAATAAGAAAATACACATAGAAGAAGAAAGAAAACACATTGTAATGAAATTATGTTATAAATATATACACTTTAATCGCAAGTGATGAGTTAGTTTTGCTGTCGATTTGTACAATATTTTCAGCATTTTGTCTGTAAAATTGGAGTTCATAGAGGTATTCAGTTTAGTTGTATTGCAATGATGTACATGATATTCATCAGAGATGAAAATAAAAGCAGCACTTCAGCTATCACATTTAATGTATCTACGATTAAAGAAGAGAAATAAACTATACATTCCAGCAGAAACCAAGCAAATACCACCCATTACTCTATGGGCAACACGACCACCAAGGTTACTCATAATTGTGCCTCCTATTAAACTTCCGGAACTTCGACCTGCCAAAAAAACATAGGAGTTGTTACATTTCTTTGGTAAAATAGCTAGAAATATATATAATTGATTTATCATTTAATTTTACAATACGAAAATACATAAGCATACAATGTATAGATTATATGTGCAGTATAAGTTAAATACAAGTCGCACACGTGGGGGCGTTGAGTAACTTTTACACTTGTAGAAGATAGTTCCGTTTGACTTTCAATGCATTTATCACAGTGATTCGTTAAGCATCGGATTGCAGCAGAAAAAAAAAAAATGTTTTAACCCAGCATTTAACCTAGTCCTGATCGGCCATCTTTCAGATGATCATTGTTATTGTAACCATATAACGCCATATACGTTAACCATATAACGCTGCTTCGTTTTGCCAAGGTCTGAAATAGAAGTTCAAATCCGCATTAGCAATCTAGAATATCTCAGTCTTGAATGCTGGAGCACTATTGTGCAAAAGCTATTCCTACTTGTTGAGTTTGCCATGACGTTTTTCTTGGCAAATTGTCGGAGCTGAGTTAATAGGATAGCATAATAAGTATCTATTATCGCGGTGTTAGATGTCATATAATCAGCAAACAATTATTCCCCTTCGCTCCAAAAACGGGTGCCGAAAATCTTCCAAAGTATTTCTGCGCTCTGATCTTAAGGGTTCGGAAAGGTGCACTGCTTTTTATAGAATGCTTTCTCATTTTACTGATCACAGTGATGAAACCATGCTCCATGTCCTGTCACCAGCAATATATAAACATTTTTGATTAGCTTTTATCTTGGAAAATAGTTCTCGAAAAGTTTTGACTCGGTGCTTCAGCATTTTTGCCGTCAGCATTTTGAATATCCATATAGCACAAACCTTCCATTGTCTAGGCAAAATATTTTCAAGGATGAATCACTGATGTCCATTTCTATAGCATGAAATTCAGAAGATTCAGAAGACTCAGACTATTCACCTATTTTTCCAACACATATTCATTAACAAACATTTCTTCAATAGCTACACACTGCCACACTATGGTCTGGTCTACGAAAGTTTTATAGTGATATGTTTTCCCGTCTAAACATGGTAGACAATTCCTCGACGGTGACATAGGAGGCTCAGTATCACCATGGACTGAAAGTATGCATTCGTGGATATTTGTAGATGTTATATCTTCTATTGTCTATCATCGAGTGCTGTTTGATATTTTCAATATTATTAGATTTCGCCAACTAATAACCTCAATCAAATAATATCACCTCCAAAAGATGATGCAATAATTTCATTTCATTTCATCATCCCACAACTGTTACATTGCACTTAAAGTAAGAAATTATAGAACATCCCGCGAATGTTGAAAGACAACAACAAATGAGTAGATGCTAAATAGAATACATTTATGAACATGATCATAAGCCACTTGATTTCAAGTTTTCAAATTTTAATTTATTTACATTTTAAAACCTTGACATAGATATCAACATAAAAGAAAATTACTATTAAAATATTTGATACATTTATATTTTTTATCTAAGCATGGGAAAACCCCATTGGTAACAAAGAACAAAAGCTATCATAAAACTAATATTTAGAAAATAATGATATGTACCTAGAATATTTATAAAGAGTGATCAATAACTGCAATACTTATTTCTGAAGAGCCGTTTTAAATTTTCAGATAGTAAATGCTGAATCTTTTCAAAGACAAAAAAAATCCATTTCTTACATTACACTAACATAAATTGGGTGGTAATCAGGTAAATGTGATGGTTGTTAATATTAAGAATTTAAGCAACTGACAAGTTGAAGTTTTTGTTATTTTAATAACTAAGTAAATATTTAAACTGTAAAACACTATAAAATGGCAAAAACATCTATAAATTCTTCGACTGTATTTACAAAGAAGTTTTAAGCATTTAATATCTTCATCACACAAACACTTTATTTTATTTATTCATTCAGTTTCTAAGCTTTTACTTGGAAATAAGAAACGACGTTTGGCATGTTTGGGAATAGCTAAAATATAAAGTTTAGAAGATAAACTGCTGAACGTTTTAACTATAACTAACATATTCCAAAATTTCAAACCCACTGGTTAAGTGCATGCTAAATGGGCAAAATATACCTGAGAAAACTCAATATACATTAAACAGACTTACCAAAATTAAAATGAAGTCCACCAATAAAAGCATTAACTGTCACTCTCAGTCCCTCCGGAGAAATATCATAACAATGCTGCATCACTGCTACCCATGACAAATGATACGTTAATATGCTCATAGTTTCCAACAGCAACGAAAACCATGGATTGATGAGGAAGGAAAGTCCAATGTTTTGCACTGCATAAGCTAGGAATGCCAACACAATAATATTTCTTGTACCGATTTTTTTGATCCACCACTGGGCAGTCATTAGAAATGGTAATCCATATAAACTGTTCATGGATTTAAGAAGACCAATAAGAAGACCAGGAGATCCCAAGTCTCCCATGTACAAGAAAGTGAATATTTGATTGAAGCCCCAGGAAGTTCCCAAGATAAATACAGCAAAGACGAATGCTAAGTTATCATAATTTTTTAAAAGGATGGTCGTTTTTCTCCACATAAGTTTACCCGGTGGCTGTATATGGACATCCAGTTTCCAGACAGTGATAATAGTTAAGAGCGTTCCGACAATGAAAACGTACAGCGCCGAGGTATAATTATTTTCACCCTCTACTGCAGATGTCGCATCTACAATATAACCGGAAAGTGAAGGAAGCAACAAAGAGCCAAGTATGGCCCAAAATCTCTGCTGCCCATAATTTTCAGCGTGAACACTAACTAAAAACATGCTAGTTATATCGAAAAAGCGGTAGATACTTGAATGCGAAACGAAGAACAAAAAGAATAAGATAAACTGTACTACAAGAGCTAAAGTTTCATCATGGTTTGGATAAGTGCAAAATTCACTATCTTTTAGGATGCACAATATTTCGCAAGAGCTTCTGCCACTTCCTGGAGCACATGAAGTTTGCATTAAGTTTATAGTTTCATTGAAGTTGCAAAAATTGGCGTTTTCATTAGATTCATCTAAATTCTGATATATGGATAAATTACTAAAATCTTCGATGATCAAATTATCGCAAGCAGCTTTGTCCAAACATTCACTGTTTGTATCGGACCGGCATTTGCAAGAATATTGTTGAATGAAATTTTCTGATGAACTGCAGTTGGCTGTTACTATGAATTTATTAAATCCACTGCTGTTGCATTCCAGGTTTGCAGAAAGGAAACTGCACTTTTCAGTATTTATACGTGGTGCTATCAAAAACAAAATCGTCACTGCAATACAACCTACAAGGCACATAAGAAGAAGTGGTTTCGAGCGACCTATTTTGTCCGAAATTATGCCATATATCAATGTAGTCAAAAACTGTACAAAAGGACTAATGACGTATATTACTGAGATATTCGAAACAGTGAGTCCCCGTTGCTTGGAAAAAAGTGCAATGAATGTTGTTATAGTAGCTCCGGCTGAGGGAAATGAAAGTATTAAAAGCATGCAACTGAGCAAACGAAATACATTGAATTTAAAATTATAAGAAATATCGCAATAAAATTCAATGGAGATTGATGCCAAAAGTCAGTGAAGGTAAATACAATGACAATCAAAACAATAACAAATTATATAATATTAAATGTAATTAATTGAAAGAATGTGTAAAGTATATTTTAGACAACTACGCTCCCGTTTTGTTTATTTTGAGCAACGATATATAGCATTCACGACCTTATTAGGTTTGACAGAGTTAGCTGTGCATAACAAGTATATCTTGTTAAAAAGGTGAAATAATTTTTTTAAATGATTCTCCTACTTAACTTTTATTTATGTACACCTTGCACACAAAAAACATGGGACAGTTCTATATCTCCCGTTCTACTGGACCGATTGTCGAAATTTAACTTGTGTTTTCCATGTCTCGAAAGCGAGACTTGGAAAACGCATTGTTGTATTAGATTTATATCTAGCATTGTTCTAATATAGATATTTTGGCACAAAAACGGACTTTTTCTGAAATAACCTACCAATGTTTTTCCATATTGCGATTCTACGACTCAAATTATGCCAAGTCCCAAGTATTGTAAAAATTGCACAAGTAGTTTTAAAAAAATTATATATCAAAATTTCAGCTCCTCCATGTTAATTGAATTTGGTATATTCTTACTTATTTGATACTTCCTTTCACATTTCGAAATGTAGGTTCATTCCAAATAAAATTCGCCCATTTTCTATGATTTGTTTTAAAAATTTACAATTTTAAAGAATTTTTGTAAATTTTTCGAAAAATATTTTGAATTGTAACTTATAAAATTTTTACCATTATCTTAAAGTAGATGTATTTCTAATCAAACCTGCAAAAAATTAGAATTTTTGATTGAAAATTGCCTAAGATGAACGTGAACTTACATTTTGGCGCGTTTTGAAATTTGCCATGCTTGTTATAAGCGATAATAACGCTAAATGTGGTTCACGCACTTTGTTAAAATTATTTAAAAGCATGAACGAGGATCTTTTTTTCCTCGATCGTGTACAATGAAAAAAGAGGAAAGGGTTGTTATAAATTAAGAAGTTCGCCATGTAAATTATTCTTGGCGCAAACTGAAAAATGCACCAAGATATATATTTTTTTTTTATCAAACTTGAATATCTAGACATAATTTGAGTGGGAGAACAAAAATATGGAAAAAAAAATAGTATGTTATTTCAGAATTCCAATTTTATGTCCAATTTTATTTTTATGTCCAAAAAGTCCAATTTTATTTTATGTCAAAATACCTATGTTAGAACAATGTTATATATAAATCTAATTTACATCCTAAGTTGCACTTTCGAGACATGGAAAATGCAACTTAAATTTCGACGTTCGGTCCAGTATAATGAGAGATATAAAACTGTCCATTTTTTTTGGGTGTGTGTGTGTGTGTGAAAGATGTCCATTACCAATATTGTCATACAGAAATTTATAAACATTTAAATCCCATTTGTCCTAATTTGAGAGCTTTTAACGAAATATTATGGTTTAGAGTGTCATTTTAAATATGCTGAGCAATACAGCAACTCAAACAATATGATACGATCAAAAGGATATTTTTGCTGGATTATTAGAACAGAGGATGAGACAGTTGTTTCAGTAAATACGTCGCTCGAATGTTTAATCCGTAGCTCTAATGTTTTAATACATACATATTGCTTTGCTGTGACAGTGCTTGAAATGCTCGATTCAGAAAACTCGGGTACCATGAACTGAGATGACCAATGGTTAATGAAAACTCAAAAAGGGAAAATGCGTTTGAGGTATGTTTTCATCTCTCAGTAGACTACAGTACAGCTGCATATGAATGACAGATATTTTTTTTCCTTTGAGAATTTGTCTCAGCTGTCTTCCAGCGTCTTGAAATGGCCAATCATTGGCAGAGTGGTAAGATTGGTTAACACTAATAATTCAATCTGGTATCAAATCCTAGCGAACCGGCTGTATGCATCGAAGTTTCCGTGGTAATGTAATTCCGTGGTCTGCCCTGTGTGCAATGTTTTTTTTTTTTTTTTTTTTTTTTTTTTTTTTAAATCCAGTGGTGGGCATTTGCTTTTCAGCGCTGGCCACTGGTCTGGAGAACTGTCAGCAGTCACAGGATCACACTATTTCCATACAAACAGTTTAAAGAGGTTCAAGGAAAGTGGTGTGTATGCCAGAAAGTCCAGCAGTTTGTCTGCGAATTACATTGCTTATAAAAATACGTTTTTAAAATAGAACAAGAAGTATCGAAATTAGATTCTTCTAATCAGTGTGGCTATACATTATTCACCAATCTTAGATTAAGTTTGCAGGTTAATTCTCACCAGTTTATTTTACACAAAACGCATTAGTAATTCCTAACTAGACTATGAAATATTTAATTAAGAGACTAAAAGGTCGCATTCTAGAGCGGATGGTTTGTTAATATGGGAATCCAAAATGTTGAAAGGCAGCATCTTCGACAGAGATGTTACTGGTAAGAGGTATCGAGACGAAATTTGGAACATGTAAATTTTATATGGGATTTTCTTTCGTACCTGTTAGATAATAAAAGCTGTAATGGATATTGTTGAGTGTATTTCCCATTAACAGTTTCATATTTCAAAAATAGACTGACAGTTTTCTTTTGTGTTAAAGTAAATAAAGAGATACAACTTAAGTTTCATGATTTCATTGATGTACGTTTAATTCTTACCTCCAAACCAAACGAAGAGTGCCAGTTTCAATGGTACAAGTAATTTACAGATGCGGACTTTCCAAATGTTGCAAAAATTCACGGAGAAATATGGGTCATTCTGTTGAAAATTTTAATGAATAAAATTATTATGAAAATTCCACAAATATTTTAATAAAGCAAATATTTTAAAATATTGATATAGCTTCCTGATAAAAGAGGAAGTCTTCAAAATATTTCTTTACTTTAATTAATTTGAAATCTAGTTTTCATAATCACAGTTTACTTAAAGAATATGCTTCTAGTAAAATGCAGCATAAACATGTAGTTTTAATCTGTTAAAGTCTAATTTTAATATAGTAGTAATTCCCTCTGTTCGTTTAAAAGAAGTAAGTAAGATGGAAAAGTAAGTAAGTTTAAAAGAAGTAAGTTCGTTTAAAAGAAGTAAGTTGAAAATCACTTCAAAATTCTTTCTTTGCTGTATGAATCAATTTATTCTCAACTTTATTTTGCATTGTGGTGACGACTGGCGGAAGAAATAGAAGACGCAGGACAGAATAAACATAAATAGCTAAAACAAAGCTTACAATTTCATAATAAATTATGGTAAAGTAGAATGTCTAAATTTTTAATTAAAAAAATTATATACACTAGAGAGGGAAGGAGGGAGTGGCATTTTTTAGGAGCGGCAATTTTCGCTTCAGACCTTATTTTATAGGCTTTAATCATGTGGATCATCGAGATACGTAAATAACCGAATTAAATCTAGGAACAAAATAGTTTTTACTCGTACAATATTCAAAGAAATCACCACGAGAATCCAACAGCTACATACCCTTGTTATACCATTTTTTATCTCGTCGCAATTGCCTGAAAATTACAAATATCAAATAAATCATGATCACAATGTGTTACACGTTAGTAATGAAGAACTCCTTGTAAAGAGAGAAGTATTTCGAGAATTTTACTTCCGTTTTCGCTAGAGAAAAACGTAATAGGAACATGGAAGGGCAGTCCTTTTGAATCTTTGCAGTTTAGTCTAAAATAAAATCTCCAGAATAAGGTTCCTAATAACACCAAGTGTTATTTCTTTGTATTCCGTTTTGACATTTTTCTAGTAATTTATTTGTATATCAAGAAGGGAGGCAAAATTAGCAGAGCTCCGGGCGGCAAAAGCTCTAGTTCACGTTGTAGTTTATCATAGACTAGCGAAAGTACCCGGTGCCAGTTCAGTTAGATTGAGAGTAAGGTATCCAACAACAGAGAGAACGATACCGCTGTAATCCTTCTCTAATTGATCTTTGATGTAACAAAATCGGGTGAGTGTGTTTGCTTCTGTTATGAGGTATTTTTATTAAAAGAAGGCAATTCACTTAAATGCATTTATATTGTAAAGTTGTGCGATATACAATATTTCGAGTTTTACCACCAGGAGTGAAAATGTGCAAATTCTTTCCAGTTCCTACTCTTGAACACCGTACTACTCACCGTAACATATATAGATAGTGAAGACAGATGCCACATTCAAGAGGGTGAAAAAAAAATTTGATACGAAGGAGCTATGATTTTTTAGTTAAAAAATCTGTTTCTTGTAGTGGAAATATGGAATCGACCAATCACGAAAGAGACAATTCATCGTTATCATCAGCTTGCCAAGTTTTTATAAACATTATGGCTGACAATCTAAATTACAGCTTCTTAAAAAGATAGGAATGGTCTCGGGATACAAGAGGAATAAACGTGAAAGTTACACTAAAAGAAATTGTTGTAGATATAAAGGGATAATTTTATTATATAGCTTGAAAAACTGAACATAAAAAAAGATTTGGCGGAGGAAAGCACAGAACAGAGCTCAAAAAGAAATTTTAGTAAATTAAATTACTTTAAACTAGTGTAATGTTCAGAAAAGATGGTACACATATACGCATATTAAAAATCAGAAAAACAAGAAAAATATTTTACTTAGAAGTTAATTTAACAATACGCTTTCTTGATAACATCAATTTTTATATTTTTATACTATTAAAAAATTTAATAGTAGTTCAGAAAGGCTAGTTTATTGAATTCAGAAAAAATAAAAATATTTTAAAGTTTTTTAAAGTATAATAAAATAACATGGTTCCACAGAGTAGTTTCATTATTTATTAATTTAGTCTCTTTGCAGCCTGATAGTCTTTCTAAAAGAGTACTCACGCACAAATCGCCTACATTAGGCAAATGTTGAGTATAGAGCTTGGATTATTGTATTGAGTTCCGTATTGTTTTCTTTTTTACTTATTTATTTTGTTCCTTTGCAGTCTGATGGCTTTCCCAAAGAGTACTCAAGCACAAATTGCCTGTATTACAAGAAAGCTGAAAATAGAGCTTGGATTATTATATTCAGTTCCGTATAATTTTTTTAAAATTATTTATTTTGTTTCTTTGCAGTCTGATAGCTTTTCCAAAGAGTGCTCAAGCACAAATAGGCTGCATTAGATAAATGTTGAATATACAGTTTCGATTATTACATTGAGCTCCTTACCAATTTCTTTTTTAATTATCGTCAAAGTTTCTTTCACTTTTTCTTTGAAACAAATACCGAATTAAATTAAAGATGAAACTATCAGAGCATTTTCAATGCAACGATGGACATCAAAACTGATAAGCTCAGGCAGATGGGGAGGAGTAATTATAGAACGTGACGTCAGGTATTTTACAATTTTCTTATCTCTTGCTGCAGCCTAATAAAATGAATAAAATTGATTATAGTGGCTACTCGAGTAAAACTAGTGCGATCAATAGAAGAAAAAATGAACAATGATTAAACAATAAAAAAGATTACCATGAGATTACTAGTTTTATTATTTATTTTTACTGATAAATAATTTGCCAAGCTTGAAAGTTTTTTTCCCTATTATTAGCCAATTCCTTACATGCATACAGAACCGCACTGGAAATTCGTATATCTTTGGGATTCAGGATTTTGACACTTTGTTTTCAGGTGCATATATTTGAATAGTACGCTTTCATAAACTTTTGTCTCCAAACATGTAATTTTCTTGCATTTAAACGAATTTCTAACCACGACAATAGCACATTTTGATACACATATGTCGTTTCGCAGTTACTTCAATCAAAGCCTTCCTACGTAATCGTGTTCTCTGCAATAATTTTTAATAATTCGAAGTTCATAGACTATCTTCTGAAATATGCATAATTAATGATTAGGTTATGCTGGACAATATATTTTTAAATACATCTCCCACGTTCGAATATAATTTGAAAATTCGAAGCAGTTTATTAATTTTAATTGAATTTAAATGAAAAACATCTCATATGCTTACATTTTTCATTCTTTTGATTTGTGACTAGTTTTAAGAATGGTTTCGTAATTAATTTATGATTAATTTTTAAATGAATTAATATTAAAATATAAAAATTGAATTAAATCTTGAATGTAAATCTCAGTGAAAATACTGTTACGACTTTTCTATACATGTAAATAATTTCAGTGAATTTATATTTAAATTGAATACATGTCTTAAGACGGTCTAAACTATGTGAAATTTGAATTTTTAATTTCTTTTATACTTACAATAAATTTAGAGTTCACTTCCGACGTAGATGGACAGTTATCTTCTTTATTGCTATCAGAAACGGTTTTCTGTAGTTCTGGTAAATTCAAAGTAGCACTGTCTTCATAGTTTTTTTTACAATTAGTTTTAGCCATATCCGACATCTATGTATCCTAGAAGAAAAAATATATATGCTTTAAATTTCAAACGCAAAATATATTGATCCAGTTTATGTTGGTCTTTTCTGATTAAAACAAAGCACCCTTCTCTTTAGGGAGAGAGTCCTACCCCCCCCCCCCCAAAAAAAAAAAACAAGACGCGTTCGTCGAGAAATATTCTAAAGTAAAGGTAATTGGCTTGTATTCATATTACTTGCGTAGAAAACAACGAAAATGCTTGCTCATGCTGGCTGAGCGTATTTTCCAGGAATAGAACCCATGTTTAATTACCCTGTTCAGGGATTTTACCCTCTTGATCACTGGTGGGCTAATATAATTTAGCTTTAATATTTCTTTACTGTATAATACAACTAATAGTGTTTTTTTTTTTTTTTATAATTTTCTTACTTTGGTGAACTTAACAGAGGAATAAAAATAATGCTTACCTTTTTAATCGCCGCTTGTTGAAATTTTTGCATTAATTAAAAATACAACTATTCGTAGAAAGGGGAAATATTTTATTCTTATAACAACTCTTGAACTGGACGTTAAATAATTTCACTTAAGTCTTATTGAATTTCTACAAAATTCCCTTAATAGTGTAAAGTTATTAGGATATTTCTGAATGCAGAAAACATGAAAAATATGCAATGCCGTCGCCGGGAATCGAACCTGGACCTCTGGAATGCGCGCCAAGTATGCTGCCGTTACACCACGAAGGCATGCAAAAAGAAAGGATAATACCCCCCCTTTTAAAGGGCGATTGGAGATTAGGGGACTCAATGTCAAATCCTGTTGGTGAAAAATCATCATCTACCACCTTGTAGTTCGGGAGCCACTGTAGTGTCATTAGGATTTTTGACGCTGGGAGACGTGAAAAATGAGCAATGATCTTGCCGATATTCGAATATGGACCTCTCTAATACGCGCCGAGTGAGTTACCGTCACACCACGAAGGCATGCAGAAAGGATGAAGAAAATAAAATTTCTCTTCGTGTTGTCTTTCTAGGTTCTAGATACGCAAGTAAATAAACGTATTTGATATATGAAACAGATTAAGTAGTCTTTCAATTATAATACATCGATTAGCTTTACAGCTATAATAAATGCAAACAAGAATCAAATATCATCGAACGTCTTTTGGACTTACATATAAGAAATGTTCGACCTTCCTGATTTTAGCTCAATGTTTAATAAGGTTTAATCTAAATAGTCAGACAGTAACACTTTTTAAGTATTACGTCTGGAATTTAACGAAGTACATAGAATTTAGTATAATTAGAAACATCTTTTATTACCATTACCTAAGAGGAGAAATAGTGACTAATGAATGAATATTATAAATGACTGTTTCAGATTTAATTAAACCCATAAATTTATATTAATTAATTAAAAAAATCTATTTAAGAATATACGGAGATTTTGGTGCTGTCAGGCCATTCAATATATGTGATACATTTTTCAATACAATATATGGTCTCCATATAATGTGTTGCATAAAGATTGTATGACTAAATGTTTGTTGAATGGTTGGGTGCAAAATGCCACTTTTTTTTAACCCTTTGACCGACACGGGATTTCACTAGGAAAGCCCATATTCTCAAACTTGCCATAAGAAAGTGGTATTTTCTTGATTGTAATGCCAAAATGGGCCTGGTACTTTATACCTGGATTTAAGTTTTTTTAATGCATTGCCATAAATTCTTGAACATATTTCAAGATGCACGCATATATACGTCCTTACAGACATTACAAAAAATATTCTAGGCCGTATATATACGGCTTTACCGGTCAGAAGGAACGAGATGAGATCACAAAAATATTGGTCACATGGTATTGTAAAATAAAAATATAGTGTAACGTCTAGTATTCTTAGCAAGCATAAACTAACTAGATGTTAAGCTAGCACTTTTGGCTAAACTCAAAAGGTAACAAGTAACTTAAAATAGAATAGAATTAAATTAGCCTAACGGTTTTTCACACGTCACTTAACGCGCAAGCAGGCTCTGACTCGTAAAAGCCGGTGTAAATAAGCTTAATGGCTAGAAGCGCTCAAAGCCACAGAAATCTAATCTGTAGTATATCAAAGATATCAGCGTGTCTTTCAGGCAGCCAGGACATGCTCTTTCTCTAAATTCACCTTCTAAAACCTTAATTAAATACTAACTTCTTTCTACTTCATTAGAATACACGCGAGCTACCTCATTTACATTCCGGTGCCCACCAGCGGCCGAGCGGTAAAGTCGCTGAACACTGGTAGTTCGGTCTGAGGTTCGAATCCCGCGAACGGGCTGGCTGCATGGGCGTTTTCGTGGTTTTCCCCATGTGTAACGTGTATACGAGCCAGTTTCCCTTAGAAAGTCCTCCACGAAAGGCATCCCTCCCCTTAGGCAGATAGCCCTAGTGTGCTTTGCCATAATTGAATACACCACACAACACCACCACCATTTACATTCCAGCAAAAAAGTGAAAAAGTGAGAATAATATAAAAGTTGCTTCAAAATAAAATTAACTGTTAAATGACTTAACTAAATCCCCACAATATGAAAGCTAAATTTTTATACTCTTCAAGTTAAAAAAACTTTCAAACAGAAAAGTGTTTTCCAGTGACAAATTAATCAAAAAATCATTGGCTTTTCCAAATTAGCCTAAATATCTATAATTAAAATATTTGAAGATCGTATGGAAATTTTGCTGATGACAGTTACAAAGTTAAATTTCAAGTTTAAAAGATACCTTTTAGGTCAGATGAACATTGATACCGAAGTATTAATGCTAAGTTTCAATTTTTTTTTTTTTTTTTTTTTTTTAAGAAATACTCTTTTAAAATCGATGATTTTGCTCGAGAGTGATTTCTGTCCTATAATTTGGAGAATTTTCTTCAGGATTAATTTCCTTTTTGTTTCTCTAAAAGGTATTAAATAAAAGTAAACAACTATTTACTAAAAGATTCTGTATACTATAGGATTTGTAAACGTCCTCAGCGGAAATGTAGTTTTTATATATTTTCGAAATAATGTATATGTTTCAAAGAATTAAAGACATACCTGCCAAGTTCTCTCGCTGTCAATAAATTTCGCCAGCTGCTGGAAGACCAGAGTTTAAATTCTATTGTGGGAGAGTTGATTATTCAAAATATTATATTTCCTAAACACTGACAACGTGATCAAAATCATTATTTTATTAATTAATCAAAATTATGTCTTTGTTGAAACTTTTGTTCGTTTCATTAATTTTTTTAAATATCTTTCAGTGAAAAGGCTTATACCTGGCCAGAAATGATACTATCATTGAATTACATCAACAGCCTACTTAATGAATCTGCACCTAAACTTAAAGGTGATTTTCATAAACTCTAGTTCAAAGCCTAGGCAGCTTCTTAAAACGTTCATCACGCTGACAAAAGACCAAATCTTTGTTTTCCACAACCACATTTTGAATACAAATAACAGTCTTCCGTGGCCACAGAAAGTTTCATTGAACAGTGCTCGATTCCTGCGTGCTTTTACAGATTTGGGAGAAAGTATTCAACATGTGGACACACGTGGCTCCCTAGAATATCTGCCAAATTAATTTTTTATCGCTGCACATCAGTAGTCTTTCCTTACTCTCCAACATTACCACTCATAATGTTTTAGCTCTTAAAGAATATGAAAAAAAAAAAAAAAAAAAAAAAAAAAAAAAGCTGCCTCTTAAGAGAGCTTTAAAGGTCATCAATTCTATAAATAAACACTCCAACGAACTATAAATAACAAGAATTAATATATTTTGCTAGCGTTTTATAATCTTAAATTTTGCAACATTTTTTTCCGCTCTTTTTTTTAGCATTGGGAAAACATGTTACTAAACACTGTAGGAAATTAGCCAACCCTAGAATGGTACAAAAATAATAAAACTAAATAAATCTGCTGTAAGAAACGAGACTGTAATAACCAGTAATAATTCTAGCTATATTAAAATATCACAAATGCTAAAAGAATAAAACGAGAATAATATCAGCGGTTTTCAGGTAACCAAAATTTTAGTAAATATTACATTATCTGTCCTCATTGTATAAAGAGCTTACCATGATGAAAACGCGTACAACCATAGCATTCGACAGCTTGCAGTATAGCTAAACGACGAAGACTAATCCGGGAAACTAATTTTATATTTCTTAATATATGATTATAATTTGTTTCTAAGATTAAGGGCTTTCTCGAGAAAGTTCCTTCAGTTACATGGTATAAGTCTCACTTAGATGAAGTAGCAAATCAGTGATTTTTAGATGACAACATAATTTTTGTACTATTTTATTTAAATTTACTTAAGCATTTTTTTTTTGACGGGTAAATTCTTGGTACGATTTAAATAGTGATAGAAATATAAAGAAGTATTTTTTTTTCAAAAACATTTGGCACTTACGACTATTCCTCTTTCTGTCTATACAGTCTTTCGATGAAAATGTGTCTCTAGCTTTCCGTAGCCTCTGATCATCTGTTTGCATCGTTGTTTCCCAGTATTATGGACAGTGATCTTGTATCCGTAGTTTTTTCCCTGCAATCATAAATTTCTTTGACGCCAGGAAATTCATAATTAGCAGTCTGCAGTGAAACGTCTTAGGTCACCAGCATAATTATGGAACATAATTGGGGGGGGGGGGGGGGGGGGGGGGTGGGGGATGTGGGGGGGGGGGGGGGGGGGGGGGGGGGGGGGGGGGTGGGGGGGGGAGATGAATTGGGGGGGGGGGGGGGGGGGGGGGGGGGGGGGGGGGGGGGGGGGGGGGGGGGGGGGCGGGGGGGGGGGGGGGGGGGTGGGGGGGGGGGGGGGGGGGTGGGGGGGGGATGGGGGGGGGGGGGGGGGGGGGGGGGGGGGGGGGGGGGGGGGGGGGGGGGGGGGGGGGGGGGGGGGGGGGGGGGGGGGGTGGGGGGGGGGGGGGGGGGGGGGGGGGGGGGGGGGGGGGGGTGGGGGGGGAAATCAGTGAAAGAGTTTAATTAAGAACATGCATAAATTCTGAATGGATAAAAGGATACCCC